TACTGGTGGGTTATTGTGATTTTTTTTTTCAGCTGTTTGGGTTCTCATTTTGATGGCACCCATTCACTGCAGAGGATCCACTGGTGAGCAAGTCATGTAATGCTACATTTCTCCAAATCTGTTCCAGTGAAGAAACAAACTCATTTACATCTTGGATGCCATGAGGTTGAGTACATTTTCAGCAAAGTTTCACCTTTGGCTGAACTACTGCTTTATTGTACCACCTGTAATCCTTATAAAGGCAAGTCAACTTTATTCAAGTCCCTTTATAATATTAAGCTGCTGCTTTAAGACAAAAAAAGTTCTTGACTTGTCAGCTGCGTGTCCATCACAGGCTATATCACGAACACAGCTAATACTTCAGCCCTCAAGCCTCAAGATACCTGATGCTATTTTACCTGCAAGGCATGGGCGCTTCACCACAAGAAATTTAGTCCCAACTACTCTGGATTGTCTGAGAATTGTGCCTCAGTTTGGAGCAGCTGGCCCTGTCACCGGCTATTGTTAGACCTAAATATTAGCCTTGGGATGCCTTTCATGCCTTACGTGAAGTGGCCTTTCTACCAAAATAACCCTTTGTGAGCAACTACATAATACAAATCCTTCCTTCACTGTCATCAAAATAGAATGGAGAAAAATGAGCTTGGCTCAAGTTCGTAAAAGTACCGGTAGTAAATAGGAGGATTAATATTTGTCGTTTAAATGTACCAAAAACCTAAATATGTATATGTATGTATGTATGTATGTATATACTATATACTACAGTTTAGGGTCAGTGATCTTATAGTAAATTGTATTTATTTAAAAAGAAGCTAATACTTTCATGCAACAAGGATGCATTCAATTGATCAAAACAAGAAGACAGTAAAAACTTCTGCAAAATCATGTGAGACTGAAGACTGAAGTTATTGCTACTGAAAATTCAGCTTTGCCATCACATTGATATATTTTTAAAACATATTAAAATAGAAAACAGTTATTTTAAATTAGATTTTACAATTTTATTGTTTTTACTGTATTTTTGATCAAATAAATGCAGCCTTTCAAAGTTACTGCCTCCAAACTGTTATATGTGTGTTATATATACTGTGTGTGTAAATATATATATATATATA